TAATAAAATATCTATTACCTCTACGAGTTACAATTTTACCAAGTTCATAAATATCAGTATGAACTAATTCTAACAAATCAATTTTTGTTTCAACTTGAAAATGAGGTCTTTAGTGATTTCGGCTTTACTACAAGCCTCACATTTTTTAAAATTCTTTTTAATCGTTGGGATTAATCATAAACTACTCATGATTCAAATATAACAATCATTAATATGACACAAAAAAAAGCATGTCAAACGTTGGTAGAAGAAAACATATAAACAGAAGTATAGTAGAAACTTTATTCATTTCAACATTCGATTTGAACATCCCATCACATGCATATCCCTTCTCCACAAAAATACTCTTCTTCACAATTACATATTGATCAGATTCAATAATCTGTTTAAGCCTGCTTTATTAAGAAGAAAACTAGACATCAATTTTTTTCTCATGGAAGAAGTATAAAGTACATGAGCATCACCAAGTATGATGGTTTTGGACTCCTCAAAATGAGTATATTCTTGAAACAGTCTTTGTCATAACAGACATGACAACTTGCACCAGAATCATCCCTCCATCCATCAACATTCTCAATCATGTTTATGTCGGTAATCACCGCCATAAAAGGTTCTTCAGTAACGTTTGCCTGAGGTTAGGACCACATTTTTGGAATTTGCAAAATCAAGCAATATGCCCACTCTTGGAACAAACAAAACATGGTCCCTTTTCTTGAACTTGGTGATTTTGTGTTTGATTATTTTCACCATTATTTTTCTTGGGAGGTCTACCATTATTTTTCTTGAACTTTTTTCTTCTTAGGCTTCAAAGAAGTATTTTTGTGAGTTTCAAGAGTAGCATATTCAAAGTAATTAAATTTACCTTAGATGTGATGTTGTTCTCTTCTGTTTGTAAAAATGCATCTTGGCCCCTTGCTTCTTGTTCCATGCGGATTTTCATTATCAAGGTTTCAAGAGAGGTTTCCTTTTGTTTGTGGCACATAGTTTTTTGAAATTCCTTCCAAGAAGGTAGAAGTTTATCCACTATGCCACAGACAATAAGGTTATCTCCAACTTTAACCTCTTCAGACCTAAACTCTCCAACAATCATTGTGAAGTGTTGAACTTGATCTACCACTGATTTGTTGTCCACCATTTGGAAAAAATCTACTAGCTGCATTTTTTTTGCTCCAGACTCATTGGTATCATACTTACTCTGCAATGCTTTCAAGATTTTCTTTGCACTAGAGAAAGTTCTATCATAACAATCATAAGATTATCAAATAGATAATTAAGAAGGTAATACCGACACTTATAGGAATCACCATCGTATTTTTCCACGTTCTCTAGATGAGAAATAGTTTCCTAATCATTCATAGAGGTTATGTCTTCTTCATTAGGATTATTCTCAGTTAACACATAAGAAACATTGTATTGAGAAGATTTAAGTAGAAAAGTACTTTACCCTTCCATCTCTTGAAATAATTATCATTGAACTGAAATGACTTGTTAAGGTCTCCCATCATGACATCTGCGGTTTTTTCAATTGTAGCCATGATGAATATCCTTAAAATTGTTAATGACAAACTTACAAGATAACAAAAATACAAGATTACAACTAAAAATGAAATGAAGAAATGTTTTAACCGGTCCAACAGTAGTCCTCTTTGACTTGTCCCCTCCACGATACAACAACCTTCACAAAATATAACTCAACAACTCTGGATAAGGGTTGAGTCCAAAACTCCGCAATAAAGAACACCTCTCTTCAACTAATAAGAACTCTCTTTTGACTAACTCTTTCACTCTATATTTCTCTTGTGTGTTGTCTATTTTTTAAACAAAATGAAAAGCATCACTATTTATACTACAAGGAGTCTTAACAATGAATTGGAAGATAAGTGGTGTAGTAAATAGTGAAGATAATGGCCTTAGAAGATACATAGGTTACATAGTTACAATAGAAGTTACATGAGTTTATAGAGAATAATGAAGGAATAATTTAGAGAAGTAATGATGAGGGCAACAAATGCACCTCAACGTGCATTTAACATGCTGCCTAATTCCAAAGTTCACTACAATGTTTCTGCTACAATTATGAGTGAAGACACTAAAATAATGTTAAGTTAGGCAGAGTACTAATGACATATATAGCAAATTATAATAATATTAAAAGAATAATAATATTAAAATGCTACAACAGAAAGCACCGGTTTCATGCGAGAACTTTGTCTACCAAAATCAGTTGGGGGTCAAAATCTAATCAACTTAGAAGTTTGGAATATTGTTGCCATCCTGAAGTTGTTATGGCAATGCATGAGAAAAAGAATTGTCTTTGGATCAAATTGCTACATAAATACCATTAAAAAGAGGTGGAACACTGCCCTATTCCAACAAGTGACACATGAGTGATACGGAAGATCATGGAGACCAAGAAGACACTCAGGCCTATATTAAATCCTAGTGATTTAGGATCAAAGTTTAAGGGAGAGGTGAAGGCTAATAAATTATCCAACCATCAAATGTACATCAAACTAACACCATAACATCCTAATGTAAGTTGGAAGAGCATTGTTCTGCAGCCAGCAGTCCATCCTAGACATCGATTTATAATTTGGTTAGTAGCATGGAGGAGACTAGCTACAATAGAAAGATTATTGAAGTTCGGCATAATTGTGCCCCTAGAATGCAGATATCATGAAGATTCCATAGAAACCTTTGATTATCTCTATTTCGAGTGTCCTATAACCAAGGACTTATGGTCTAGATTACTAAAATGGATGGGCATAAATAGGCAAATAGGAAGTTGGCAGCAGGGGCTTACATGGGCAAATGGATGGGAAACAAAGCGTAATGAATATGGAGCTATCATCACTTGTGTTTTTGTAATGGTGGTCTATGTAATATGGAGAGAAAGAATTACTACCAGTTTTCAGGACACATCATACCAAAGCGACAGAGTGTGCAAAGAAATTGACTTATGCATTCATATCAGAGGAAAATACTTGAAGAAGTGGCATTGAAGAAGATAGATCATATTTCATGAGTTTTTTGTTTTTAGATTCTTTCCGTGTTATTGTTTTAAGTGAATAATTAGTTATAATAATAGTCTTTAATTCAGGCTAGGAAGTTTTTTTTGTGGTGAGAATTTTGAGAAATAGATGTAAATATCTACTTGGTTTTGTAATTACACTTTTTAGTATCAATACAAGTTGATTGTTTGACCAAAAAAAAAAGTTGTCAGAGTGACCTACGTCCATAGGATTTCATATGACCCGTATAGGTCAACTGTAGAATTAACTTCATAAACCCAATAATTAATCTAACTTTCCACAAGACCATCCCACAATTTATTATTTGCTCTACGGTTCGTAGACCCATCTCGTAGAGCCAAATTCAAGTACAAAATTTTACTGGATCTCGTCTAGTTCAATCCTTACAACTCATGGGCCTTTCTACAATACATCAATTCCTTTTGTAGTCCTGAGGGATTAAATAAAATCTCTGAATCAACTTTACATGCAATATGTACGACCCTATGTGAGCACTTTCTAATTTCTGAGGTGTTAAAAATTTGTATTAGAGGATTCTTATGACTTTAATTTATCTTTAAAACGCTTCCAACACTTGGAGCCTTTTGACATGACTATTAGAAGACCAAAAATACTTATTTTGAGAAGAAAAAATCTCTTTGAAAAATTAAGACGTTGGCAAATCAATAAATTTTCTTTTCAAAGGAAGCTGAAGTAGTTTTACTGCCGTTGAGAAAAATAAAATTGTTTTGCTTCTTAAGAAAAGCGGATATGTTTTTTTCAAGATCAAAATCCCTTCGATATATATATATTTACTAATATATCCCTTATTAATTAATTAATTAATTAATTAACTTGCATGCTTCATAAGTTTGATTAAGTTTCATTAAAGAATTTCATCTTCTACTTATATATAGTGTATTATTTTGCATGATTAGAAGAAAAAAAAGGTAACAAGAAATTCTTATTGGACTAGAAAAAAAGGTAACAACAATATTCTTTTTTCAGGATATCAATATTATGTTTACTTTTAATTTTATGTAAAATGCTGATTAAAATTTGATGTTTTACATTTTAATTTAATAAAAATAAAAATTTAATTATATTTTTTATAATAGTATTTAATATAACTTATCTCTATTAAATAAATTCAATATTAAAAATATATTGATACTTGTCCTTTTTGTAATTTAACTCTTCAAAGTATTTTTTACAAAAAAGATTACATAAATACAATCTTGTTTATCAAAAAGATTATTCAAGCGAATTAGCCAAACATAAAGTAATTTTATTAAAAACTCCATTCTGCAAACCTATTTTTGTACTTCTAAAAATAAGAAAACTTTAGCAGAACCATCAAACAACTTTATCGTAATAATAATTACAATCCTTGTTTGCATTTTTTACCCCTCATTTGCTTAAGTTTATTATTACTGACAATAGTTGGTTTTCCCTTTCATTTTACTCCTAGTAGTTGATAGCTAATATATGCAATAACTTCATCAAGTCTCTGTAAAACTCTTACACCAATATCAGTGATCACTTTACTTGCAATCCTAGATTACACAAATAAATCACAAAAAATATATAACTTAGTACATCAATCCAATCCACTTTTCACTTTTTTCAAAAACCCAAAAGCCTTGTTTTTACTTTTAAATTTTGATTTTCATAAAATAAATTCCTTTATATTATATGCCATGTTTAAATAATATTATATTTATAAAATTTAAAAATACATCTAAATTCTAAATACTGACAGTAAAAACTGTAGCCAAACACAATTTCAATTTTAAAATTTCAAATATTTTTTTTAAAAAAAATTCATTACCAAAATGCTAAAGAAAAAAAGGAAAAGAAAAAAAGAGGAGCTACAAATGTAAAGTAAAGTTGGGCCTAATTAGTCCATTGGAATAGGTCAACTTAATCGAAGTTCAACCCAAGCCCAAATAATTGAACCCAAATTCACTCATCATCTCACTCAAATCCCTATCACTACAAAAAACAATTGGAGAGAAAGAAGAAGAATTATCTTGACAGAAAAAATGGGGAGGAAGAATGGAGTACAGTTCGATGAAGGAGCACCCGATGATTTCGACCAGAATAACCCGTACAAGGATCCGGTAGCTTTCTTAGAGATGCGGGAGCATTTGGTGAGGGAGAAGTGGATCGACATTGAAAAAGCCAAGATCCTCCGTGAAAAGCTCCGTTGGTGCTACCGTATCGAAGGTGTTAACCATCTTCAGAAGTGCCGCCACCTTGTTCAGCAGTATCTTGATGCAACCCGTGGTATTGGGTGGGGCAAGGACCTTCGTCCTCCCTTTATGCATGGTCTCGCCCTTTGCTCATTTATTACTTCTTTGAGATTCAAAGGTTTTTTTTTTGGTTTCTGAATCTTATGTATTCTTTTGATTGCAGGGCCTAAGGTGGTTGAAGCTGTTGAGTCCGAATGATTCTGCTATCTTAGGTATTTCTGATCTTGCTCTTTTATTAGATTGGAATTATCATCAATTTCAGCTTATATGAGTCTATTTGAGACAATTTCATTAATTATAGTCTAACCTAGAAATAGGAACTTCAATGGAGGAATCTGGGGCTCTCCAGAGAGTTTGGTCAAAATCTAGAATCGTGAAATGTGAGGTGGGAGTCCACTTAATAATATGGCCAATCTATAACTAGTCAGACTAGAAGATTCAAAAATATGATTTGCGCTATCTTCAAATCCATGGCCAGTATGAATCTGTAAACTGGAAATATCTTAACTGACTTAAAACACGTGACATGCTATTATTGATACTTTTGGGTTATGTATCATAATAGTTATAATTCACTATGCATACCTCATGAGTCATGGGTGACTCTATTTTACAATCTCTTGTGAACATTGAAGCACAATAGATTAAGGATTACATTTACTATAGTCTGGCACTACCCGCATTGTAGATGCTAACACAACAGTCTGATCCTAACTTGATGATTGAGGTATCTTTTTCCTGTTTGTCCATTCCGAGAGTCTGAAGCCATCTCGATCAGCTAAGAGGGATGCTAGCACGTAATGAATCTAAAGCTACACAAGAACAAGCCATATCTGCTTCTTCTTGTGATATGGTCAACTCTTTTACGGTAGCATATCTCATCTGAGATCTTGCAACCTTCTTCCCAAAAACTCTTCTAGGCTTAGGCATGCAGCTTAATATATAGCATGTGATGTACTTCATAATCTTGTATAAGAATCATACATCAACTGTATTTTACTCAAAGCTAGTCAGTCTTGCTTCAATTTTAAACAGGCTCATCAAAGTACATGTGCACTGTCATAAACACTATAAACTATTAGCATAACTCATGATAGCTGCTCAAGATAAAGTACGCATTTACATAATCTTCACATCTTGCGCTTATATGTGAAGAGCATACATATACCACAACTCTGGAAATATAGAACAATAATTCATTCTAAAACATGCATAACTCAATTTTATATCATGCATTTTGATATAAAATCAGTTACGAGACAGATTATAGCTTAACTTCAATCCCCGTTGGGCTTGACTCTGATTGATTCAACTAGGGGAAATCATCTTTAATGAATGATCTAGGAACCAAAGAATCGAAACTTCAATCAGAGTTGACTCGCCTCCAATTGACTCAACAAGGGAAAATATTTATTGATCTATGATCAAACAAACTGTCAAATTGGTCACCTGTTATAATCCATGCTTTAGCATTTCAATCTATATCTCAAGATTCCTGTATTTACAGTTATGCCAGCTCTAACATTCTTTCAATGGCGAGTAGATGAAATCTACCTCAAAACTCTAAGAATAGCAGTTGACTTACCATAGGGCACATGAAGTCCTTAATTCTTGCCTTTGGGCTTAGGAAATCACCATTAAGTAATGGGTTTCTTAAATCTTCCATTTATAGTGATTGTTCCTTGCCAGTGACACATTGCAATGGCTTAGAATGAATCAGGACATAGCTTTCCACGATATAAAGTATTTAAAAAGATATCAAAATTCCCTTAAAGATTCCATGAATCTGGTGCATCTACCAGTATGCTGTGGATCCTTCAGGCTTTTGACGTTTTCATAGGTTAATTGAGAAAGGATAAACTTAACAGAGTAAAACTTTTTCAAATGCACTAGATTTCTCTTGCTCTCCTTAATCTTTTGGCTCCATCACATTTGTTTTTTCAACTCTTTTGTCATAACTTAAACTCAATATAACAAGTTTAATCCATGCATAAAATCCAAGTCACAACATGTTAAGGAGTCGGGGTATTTTTGTTGATTCTGTTTTTTTCTGTGTTTTTTTTATATACAGCTATTGGAACTCAAAGTTGTTCAAATTTTCATCCGGATTTTTGCAAATAAATCTAAAGAAACTAGCTGGAATACAAGTTTGACCTTGGTCACTTTGATTGTTTACTTATCTGTCCCATGATAGCCCACCTACAATAATTCCCTTGAAATAAAACAAAAATGAGGGGTAAGCAACAACCACAAAAAAGCACAAGAAATACATTTGACAATGTAGGTTAAAATTCCAAAATGCAGTTGAATAGAGGTGAAACTTTCGAGATGAACTCTTTCCCTCCTGAATCTTCCTCTTCTTTTATCTAGGAAAGTTATATTAGTGTACAACTCCACTGTCAGTTGAAATCCTTTTTACCTTCTTGACACCTTTCACACCCCTGGCCAGAAAACATCAAGTTTGGCCTGACGAATTGGAACAGTTGTTTAACTGGCTACACTTCTGATAATTGAGTGATTTTTCACAAAAGCTTTGGGTATTCTCTAGAAAATTGCTGTCATCTCCACAGACTGACTTATACAGATGGTTAGGAGCAAAACTAGAAGGGAGGTAGCACTTCTAAATTTTGATAACAGTTTTTTTCTTTTAATTCACCATATTTTCAGGTTAGTTTGGTCCTTGTATTGTAGTGCATAAAACATTGAACCTTCCGCTTAAGGTGAATTTCATCCATTTAGTGAAGGCAATCAGCCAAATTACATGAGAAGTTCCACATTTGGCTTCCACCTCCATCCTCTTCCTTTGATATGGTCTATGCCATCATATCCCTCTTATACACTCTGATCTTTCCTAAAACACCTAAGAGCAACTGCCTTTCTGGATAGTTCACAGAGAGTTGAGTAGGGATTCATAAAGAAGCGAAGTGACGTATTTGAATGAGATGTAGGTGTTTGAGGATATATGCATGAAAGAGGGACAAAGGACCTTAAAAGATTGAGCTTTCAAGTATCCCATCGAAATTTGTTGATTATACTAGATGAAGGACTAAAATAGCTCCTCTTACAAATTGCAGATCTGATATAGTACATGTAATAACACAGGAATTGAGATTCTGTCAAAGAGGACTTGAGGTGTCACTAAACTTAGAAATATGAATAGAGCCATAAAAGAATTACAATATCTTTCTGATTCCATCAATAGGTTCCTTAAGACTTCATATCACCATTCTGAGTCATTTTAAGAAATAATGTTATACAATTGCAATTGTGATGGCTTCTTTTTGCAACAACAATGCAATAGTAATGGCAAAGCATGATTCACTAGTTATGTACTGCTATTAGGGAGAAAAAGGATGAGCTTTTATTAAATAAAAAAAAAGTAGCAGGGATGAAAGAGGCTTGCTGGAGAGGAAGTAACATTAGAACATACATGGATATTTCATTTGTATAATTACGGAATAAAAAATTAAATAATGTAGTATGTTATGTTTCATGTCCACGTGAATTTTTAAACCTTACTTAAAGTCTGAAACTAGATTTAGAGTGTGTTTGGTATGAACCAATTTTCTCATGTTTGATTGGGACAAAAGTCATGGAAAATATTTTCCATATCAACTCATTTTCCTCAAAATTAAGGAAAATGACTTCCCTTCAAAAATTAAGCAAAACATTTTTCAAAACTCTTCTCCAACTTCAAATTACATTTTTTTTGGCAAAAACATCAATTTTAAAAATATTTTCAATTTCAAAATATATTTTTTTCACCCGATCCCTGACCCCCATCCCACCTCCCACCACTGGCCAG